TTTTAGCACTTTAATTGGAAAAGGTATTAATAAAACATAACAAGTTTCATAACACAGCATTTTAATAAAAATATTAAATTCATCAGAGGTGTAGTATTTAGCAGAGAATTAAAGAAGCTTAAAATTAATATTGACATTAGTTGTCTTTAAGTTTCTCCATAATGAGAAGACGATGAATAGAAAATATGAGACATTGTGGACATTGATATAGTCAACTAGATCTAATATAGTCTCCGGGAAGTGGGGGAGGAATAAGAGAGAAATAATTATATTGTCTTTGTTGTCAGCTTTCTGATAATGATGTTTAGACAGATAAATTTGTTACTCTTTGTAGCTAGAATGATTTTGTAGGGGAGAGGATATCTGAAATTAAAGTCTTAGTATTTCATCTTCTATAAATAGAAATGTCAATTTTGTTTGTTTTCTACTTAAACCTTGTTGCTAGATATTTTCCCTCTCATTTCCAGTAAATGTACATTTACTTCTGTGGGCTGCTGAGAGACTGAACTGTGTCATTATTCTTTTTATTTAGATAAATATAATTATACCTTGTGGAAAGGACAGCTTTTAAATAAAGGAAAGCTTCTGTGTTACGTTTCTTTGAGGTCAGCCACTCGTGCTTTTTTGCCTATCAAGCTGTAAGTATGTTAAAAGAGCAATTCGTGGTTGCTAATTGTATCAGTTTCTTTAGCTTTTTTCCCTTTATTTCTTTTTCATATTTAAATTTTATATTGGTCCATAAGAACTTAAATATAAATGTTGGTTTGTTTTTAAAAGGTTGATTTGATAACTTTAGAATTGGCGTTATGAATTAATTGGCAGTGCGAACCCTGTACTTCTCTGTCTTGATTTGAGGATAGGCTAGTCATACACATTTATGATAAAAAAAATTTTTTCTTGGTGATTTTAAATCTGAAAAATAATTTTTCAAAGTTTTGTCCTAATTAGATACATTTTTCATTTAACAATTCGAATCTGATAAACTGAAAAATTACCACTTTGTCAGAAAGAGCTTTGATGTGGTAAGTTAACATATACAGGCTGTTTTCATTCCTATGCAACGTGTTGGGATAAAAAGATCTAAAATGACCCTTTGCTGCCAACACAGTAAATATAGGCCTTTGTAAATGTTTGAAGATGAACAGTTTATTCTTGAATTGTCTTTAATAAAATGACAGCCTTTTAACTTCTGGGTTAAGGAAGGAAGGTTGGTAATACTGCCAGGCTATTATCTACCTATTATATATCTAGACTTCCCATGTCAAATCCTCTTTAGAATAAGGTGAGATATTAATAAATAATGCCCTCTGTTTTCCATCAAGTATATTTTCTTTGTTCATGATAACATTGTTAGAGTTAAAAATACAGGTAAGGCAAACATAATTTTTCAATTTTCTTTCAGTCCTGAGAAATTAGATGTTGAAACAGTCATGAGTCTTGATCATCTGAAACAGAAAATCCCTCCAGCACTGTTTTATAAGGAAACATACTTAGGTCCAAATGAAGGTAAACTAATTTAATTTTACTAAAATATATAAGAAGCAGACTTCATTTAGATATTTACTGTGTATTTTTTCTTTTGTCAGTTTTGAAGAATGGAATGTATTGCAGCCTTTATGAAGTTGTAGAAAAGGCAAGAATTGGAAATAACATGGAGAATTTACTGCAAAAACTAGAGAAAGAAAAACTTGTGAGTGAAAGGTTTTAAAGTGTTCATTCTTCCTTATAAATGTCCATATTAATATGTGATCATATTCATATTTCAGTTCATTTTATTTTTACCTCTGAACGTACCACACGGTCTCTGTCTTTGTGCTACCTTTTAGTTTAACAGTGTTTACTATGGCCTCTGGTACTTTATTTATTTATTTATTTTTTTGATATCAGACCTTCAACAGACCAGTCTTCCCCATAAGTATCTTTATTGCACTTTCTGATTATGAATGTGATAGTCACCAAATATGTTTTTGAGTATCATTTTCTTATGCAGGGTATATAGTTTAGTAAAGAATGAAAAAAGACTCTTGTTTTCCTATATTATACAGACTAATGAACAGAGCTATTCAGATAGATGTGGTTTGTTCCAGTAGAGACAGTGGCATATTTGAAGATCCAAAAAGAACAAGGAACTTGGTGAGGTTGAAGAGATAAAAGAACACTAGAGTAGTTGTGGGACAGTAGTAGGGATCTATGTCTTATAGTTTCATTCAGGCAGTGTTCAAATGTTTGGGAGTTTAGACTTGATCCTAAGAGCAGTAGGTTTTGAAAGATTTTAAAGGAAGTCGATGGGGCTTTGAATGTGTATGCAACATAAGGTCTGTGTTTTGAAAGTTTACTATGGTTACTCAATAGAGAATACATTGAAGGGAGGAGATAAGATAGGAAATTATTACATTAGAGATGTTCATGGATTGGATAAGAAAGGTAAGAATAATGATGTAAGAAGAGACTGATTTAAGGGATATTGACAAAGTGGTATCCAATTTAGTAGATATTGAGTATATCTCGTTTGGGTAGAGGGATTGGGTCAGAGATCAGATTATTATGGGTTGAGGAGTGAATGGAAAATGAATACGTAATATCAATATGCATGGTTTAGCTGAAGGAAGGGAGGTGGTTGCAGAAGCTGTTCCAGGGTTACTTTTCTTTAAACATGAAATAGATGAGATCATGTTTAAATGTTGGTGGGAATTCCAGTAGAGAGGGAGAGAACTTTTTGGCACCAGTGTACCATTTAATACAAGTTTTTCAACAGGTGACTTTTTACTTCTCACTTTGTTGATCCTCAGTTTCCAGGTAGTCAAATGGAGGTTTAATCAGTGATTTTCAGAACTTGTGATTTCATTTTTAATGGCTAAATGGAATTTCATTGTTTGTGTGTATATGCTTAATCAGTCTCTTACTTACAAATTGGAAAGTTAGATTGTGTACAAAACCTATAAATAGAGTTACAAAACATGTAAGAATTTTTGACCTATAGGCTAGAATCCTTTGGGCAAGGTATCTTAGAGCTCTCTCACTTTATATGAACGTAATTTTTTGTTGACATTTACATTTCTTGTGTTCTTTTGAAAGCCTGACTATAATACAGGTATTCCTCATGATCAAAATATATTTACTTTCTAAGTTCAGAAAGTGAAAGTTTAGATAGTAGGTTTGGATATGAAGAGATACTGAGTTACTCAAAGTATTTGGTTCTTCTTGTGTTTCAGAGAGTGAGTATTTAGAGTTTAGACAGTAAGGGGTTTATCAGAAAATTACAATATCTGTTCAGTTCCTAATAGTGAGAATCAGAATAGGAAAGATAGTGGCATTTTGTTCTTACCTGACCAGGTATTATATTATGTTCATGGGGGACTGGGTCTTCCTATAATCAAGTAGTAAAGTAAAATCCTAGATCTTAAAGGGCATTGGCATCCACAAGGATATACTTCCTAAATCTAATGTACCTAATTATTTTGTGTGGCTACCTCTTTTCCAGCAAACCTCACTGGGAATTATCTTAACTATAGTTGCTTTCTTCCTAGTTTTCATGATAGTGGGAGGTGCACTGGGGAATGTTGGGTTTTTAAGAATTTTATCTGGAATATGCACACAAGGTGTTCTGGATCAGAGACAGATTTTGTGAATACTTCACAGTAAGTAGTAAATGTATTGGCCCTAATTTGCCCTAATCCTTACTCCCTAGGGCAGTGTAACAAGAGTCAGGTTACTTGTCCTATGAGTAGCTGTATACTCCATAGGTAAGGGATAAAGACAAATGGTTTCTCTTTGCTTATACAGGGGAAGGAGGCAGCTATTTCCCTTCCCTCCTGAAAGTGTCTCCTTGAAATGTAATGAATATTAATTCCAACCCTTTCGTATATAAATAAAATCTCTTTTAGGAGCCAGTTAGCTCTCTTAGACCAAGAAACATCTCCAAATTCCTGAGAACTCATTCCACTTTGAAATATAAATGCCTAGAAAGATAGCTTTCCAGTCGTCTTGGCATCTCAGGACTTAACCTAAGAATCTATCTGTGCTTTTACCTCTTGGCCTTCTTGCTCTACCCACTTGATGCTCTCAGGGAGATAAGAGACGTTTTATTATCCTTGTGGATCAGAGCAATTAACTAGATAAATGGCTACAGATCTAATTCTTAAGGTATGTGAAGAATAAAACATTTTGGGGGGAAACGGAAGCAAACATTCTCTTTATATCATATACATTTCTGCATATTAGGAGGCTCGGGCTTTTTACAGGAGCACTGAAAAATCCAGGGAAGTTTTAGTTTCCTACAGGGAGATTGTAAACTAAGTAAAATTATGTTGATCTCTCTTTTGGCTTGTGGGAGGTTAATTCTTAAAGCTGATTTTAATATAAAAAAAGCAGGAGAGAGAGACATATCCCTAAGTCTAAATATTGTCTCTACTGTGAAAATTCTTCTACATATCTCTTGATGTACATGTACAAGATTTTCTCTATCTCTAAAAGTAGAATTATTGAATCAATATATGCACATGACTGGCTTTACAAGAGTAATGCCTTGTTGTTTTAAGTAGTTGTACCAATTTATACCCCCCAATAGCAATGAGTTCCCATTTATTTACATATTCACAAGTATTTGGTATAGTCAGACTTAGGCAAAAATTGGCCAGATCTGGTAGGTGTAAAATAGTATTGTGATTTTAGCTTGTATTTTCCTGAAATGTAAATTAAAAGTAAATTTATTTCTTGTAATGTTGGTTCCTGTTCATGTCTTTTGCCTATTTTTCCTTCAAGCCTTGTGTTTTCTTACTATTAATAATTTGAGGGGTTTTATATATATTCTGGATATTAATAGTTATGTGTGTTACACATCTTTTTTATAATTTGTTGCTTGCCTTTTCACTTTATTCATTGTTTCTTGAAGCCTAAGTCTTCTTAACTTTAATCGTTGAGTTTATCTGCTTGAATGGCAAATACTGTTTGTGTCTTCTTTAAGAAATCTTTCCTTACCCCTGGGTCATGTGGATAATGGCCTATATTTTCTTCTGAACATGTTAATGATTTTGCCTTTGACACTCAAGTCTTTTTTATATGCAGTAAGTCCTTAAATAACATTGTTTCATTCAATGTCATTATAACATTGACTAGAAAAAAAAAATCAATTCCCAGCCAAGGCTACTCTCTGTGTGGTGTTTGTATGTTCTCCCCACGTATATTAAAATGGTTTCATGGCCGGGCAGGATGGCTCACACTTGTAATCCTAGCACTCTGGGAAGCCGAGGCGGGTGGATCGCTC